GGACAAAAGTAGTTGACACACTTGTTTAAAACGGGTGCTTTTAGCAAACATTTAATTCATCTATTATTTCATTCTTTTTAAACGCCGTAAATCCCCTCACCCCCCGAATCAATGTTGTCTGAAGTAAAAAAAAGACTTGAGGGTCCAAAATTCAACATTGATTTTGGGGGGGAAGGGGTTGGGGTAGACAGGGGAATGGGATAAGTATATCCACTATGCAAAAAGGGGCCATTTTACGGAAGTGTGCCAACACTTTTGTCCCTCATTGTAGAATATACACTTCATATTTGTCGTTAATCATATCAACAAAAATTATAAACACTCAAGTGAACAGAAACATCATTTTGAGGGCCCTCAAAAAATTTTTGGTTGTTTGTTTCGTTTTTAAGTTTCATCTAGATAGCACCACTTGATATTAAAGCCCTGAGTACAACGGCCCTTTTACAACTTGCTTACATGTTCATAATTGTTTTCACAAAATAAAAGATAACAGGTAATTGAGCACAAAAGAAGGAAAAGTGTTGGTATGGTGCCCAACCTTACTGTCTGGGACTAACTGTTAAGAAGATACGACTTACGACAACTTTAAGAAGATACGTAACAACATTTTGAAGAGTTCGACAGATGAATCCGGAACCCGTTGCCTGACTTCAAGAGGGAAGACCATAACATAGGACCAGTTCTGGAAAGTGTTCAATTATGATCAAGGCGAATTTTCCATGTCCCTCTAACACAAGCTTACAGTGGATCATTTTCAGTTAGACCCTGCATCCAAAATGCGTAACCATCTCGCAGAAGACGTGCTCGATAGGAACATGTTGGCCCTCATGAAGGTATTTTTCAGTTCCAAAGGCATGCATTCTGTATTCTGCCAGTCTAAAATAATAATAATAAAAAAGAAGGATTTGTTCATAATTTCCTTAAAAGATTAACTGGCAATACATCTAATTGTATACTTATAGTTGGTACTAAGCTTTTTTAACTCAATTTACATGTCTGATTGATCTCTACAATTGTCTTTCAAAGTTACAATAGTATATGATTGTAATAATTTGTTAACTTATTAATATTTAAATGTACTAATGGTTCAATTTTTTTATTCGGAAATTTTAGACTGATAAGAGTCACCTTGTTAGCAACTTGTAGACCTAAAATAACAGCAAAAGTAGTATGCAGGAGGACGTGACATGCCGAAACATCTAACTTCCGCTGTGAAACCTCTGAGAACCTTTCTTTCATTCAAGGATTTTAATCTTTTGAAGTCGCTAGCCGCATCGGCTCGCTCCTTTTTTAATTTTATGACTGCTTGAAATTCTCCTTGTTTACATGTTACTTAGTTTCTTAGTAGCGAGAGAAAAATACTAGGCTCAGTAGATTCTGCATCGACAGTTGTTGTATTGTGTGAATGAAACCCTCAGTATGTTAGGTACACAACAGTAAATTTCGCTTTTAATTCGACTTCATTCCTGTTGAACATCTCGTTTGTTTTGTTTGATATGTCCTCTTGAAATATTTGCCGTTGAGATTGTATGTTATCAAAGGCCGTTTTCATCCACAGCCACATTAATTTGGCTTATAAAACTCCGTTCACAATTCGCGACCTCAGATCTCGCACAATTACAGCCGCCACGCAAGCGAAAGATGCAGTCCGTGTTCGATCTGCAACACAGTTGGAACAACATACGTTTTACTTCAAAATTAACTGTGGGTTGATGCAGTGTGGTCCTTTGTGAAATTAGTAAAAAGCTCCAAAGCATTGCACAAGTGAGTTAAGCAGTAAAGTAGAGTAACTAAAGAGCTTGATTTTCAATATTTATTTACCCGCTGTCGAGGGCCGGGACTGGGTTGTTCGTGATAAAACTTATGATATGCAGCCAACTGTCAAGATTACAAGCAAACTTGAAGACGTCGCATGAGTGTATCACCTTTTTCTTTTTGTTATAAGGTTTTAAGCGGATTTTTTTAATCCGATAGAAGATCAGAACTATATCATCAGGTAACTATTCCACGCTGGCTACCGCCATCGTTGGCAGCAATTCATATCGCGCTTCTGTGACTCAGCGTGTGACGAATGATGATAGCTCTGCTCTGATTGGATATTACCAAGAAGGCGTGAAAAATATTCCGCGAAAGCTATTTCTATAAATAATTTTTCGCCGGAAAGACTTGACTCCAAGGGCTTATATGGGAGATGAAGGCTCCAAGTAATCGGCTCCTGGCAATGTATGTTGTTCAAACATTAACCACAAAGGACTGCACCGGACCGCAGACGAATATGCCATCTTTAAAGACCTGATCAGCAAAAATAACAAGTAGACTTTTAAAATTCTCCAAGCAGAATACTCCCGGGGTGGGGGCGGGCTCCCATATGAAAGGGGCGGAGATGCTCGTCGGAAATTTTGAATTATACCTCTAAAGGAGACCAATCTGGGCGTGGCCCAACCTTTTTTTGACGCCTCAAAGCGATCATTTTAAACTTTGATCACATGAATCGATTAAATAAAACAAATTAAATGTATATAATTTTTTAATATTTCTTCGAGTGCAACCATAAAGAGACATTTACGAAACAACCTAAGCGAGACCAAAATCTGAAATTTACGCCCCTAAGTGAGACGACGAGCATCCCCTCCCCTTTCATTTGGGAGCTTCTTACCAAAATACGCTCCCAATACAGCAGCCACCTGGGGCGAATCTATCTTTTTTTGGACGGGGTCTGGGGGCATGTTCCTCTGGAAAATTGTGAAATTTAGGTGCTCAGAAAAGTGATTTCCTGCGTTTTAAGGGATAATTGTAGGTTGTCACATGCCTTTGAAACGACGCCTTTTTAAAAATATTTTAAACATGGACTTATTCTTAAAACTTTACAATAATCGAGACCATACCCTGCGAAAACAGCCTGAGCCGTTCCTCCCCGCTCCTCGTTGCTTGGAACGTTTAACTAGGGCGAGAAAAAAAATGTCCAAAGCGACGCGGAGCAGGGAGTAACGACTGTTTTCGCAGGCTGTCGAGAACAATGTCGAAAATAAATCTGAAAGAACGGTTAGAGAATTTGTATTTGCCAAGTGCTCTAAAAAGATAACTCTTGGGTTTCATCAAAAATGGAATCAACAATCATTTAAACCAGGAAAAGACTTTCCTCTATCAATGTATTTTTCTTTTCATCACAGTCATTTTTCAAAAGACAACATATAGTGTTTGTTGGCGATGTATGTCCACCTACGTTTTTCGATAGAAACCGAACGTGTTAAACTTTTTCATTTCGGTTTAGGGGGCTCGAACGAACCACTCTAACCACCCCTTGTTCCGCCCCAGGCCACTTACCTCTGTGAGTCTTCAGGTTAGTAAGGTTTAATAACTTCATTTCCGAAGAGAGCAGGACTGTCATTGCGCAGACGACTCAAACCAATCCTCTTGATTCTTTCTAACTTTTTGGGAAAATCTAGATCTATTATAGAATATTATATAATAGCCGATTAGATCGTTATACTCTGATAGGAGTTAGTTACACCCTTGAGGCTAGCTGTAATACTGGTTTTGTAAGCAATCAGTTAAATTGTTTATTTGAGGGCTTTTTTGAAATTTTCAATTTAGACATTGACGCGTGTGCAAACAACACTGACAACTGTGATATGAACGCTTACTGTAACAATACCGTGGGGTCTTACAACTGCACCTGTTATGCTGGATACACAGGAAATGGAACGAGTTGCATTGGTGTGTAAATTTTAATGTCTTGGTTTCTAATGAATAACAAGCTATTTCACTGAGGATATGGTAGTTAACTAAAAACTTATTTACGCTGGAATAAGGCTTAATTAATTTATCATATTTTAGGTACAGTGTACGATACATCTTTTCAATTGTGGTGGAAAAGGTGATTGCGAACAACTTAAGACTATTTCCTAAAACAACTTGTTCCTTCGCCTATGGATATTATTACAAACTTTTGCGCACTCACTTCACTTGAAATGATATAATAAATTATAAAATGAAAAACATGTGTCTGCAAAAATAAAATGCTATGTAATTTTAAAATATCTTAACTGTTAATACGTGAAGAAATGTTCTGGCAGTCATATAAATGGAAGCAATTTATTTTGCAAGAGAAGCCTCAGCAATAACAAAAAACTAACAAAGACCTTTATCAGTAGGGTTGGACCCCGCGGCACCTCCGCGTTAAAAGTGTGGTACCGAACTAAATATGCGATGAAGTTACCTATTACAAGTGAATTTTTCATTATGCCCAGAGAACGACATGAATGCAGGTTAACTAATTCATATAATTATGAACTAAGAATATGAAATAATATCAGAAGATTAACATTCAATGATTTTAAGACCGGTTAGGAAACTCTTTAATTCAGTTTCAATTTACGTATTGGTGTCAGTGGAGTCATATCACGAGAATTTCAAGGTAAGCCTACAGGTAGTGTTTTTGTGGAAGTAAATTAAAAACTAAACTACATTTCTTTTTGTGCAATAGATATTGACGAGTGTTCAAACAACACCGATAACTGTGATGCCAATGCCTTTTGTAACAATACCATTGGGTCCCACAACTGCACATGTAATCCTGGATACACCGGAAATGGAACATGGTGCACTGGTAAAATAAGGCACCTTCTTACTTCTCAGATATTTTTAAAATAAAATTAAAGGTGGATTTAAGTCAACTGTAGCTTCTTGAACAGATTTGGTGTGCCGTTACTATACAATGCAATTTATAAAACAAACCTGCGAAAGTGCAGTAGCGATAGTAAGTCAGTCTTTCAGTCAGTCAGTCTGTCTGCCTGTATGCCTGCCTGTCTGTCTGTCTGTCTGTCTGCCTTTCTCTCAGTCAGTTAGTCGGTCTGTCTGTCCGTATGCTTGTCCGTCTGTCAGTCCTTCATTCCGTCCGTCTGTCTGCCTGCCTATTTGTCAGTCTGTGTGTCTCTCGGTCTATCAGGTCAGCTCTGGCTCGATCGATCTGCTTACTTCCTCATTGCCTGAAGATAAGTTCGTTTTCTTTGCCCGTTCTTCCTCTTCCCCGTTCTTTATCTCTAGGTCTCTGACTGTCCGTAAAAAGGCCAACTCTGTTTGTCGTTGGTTAAAATTTCTTCTATTCATTTTTTTTGAAAGGTCATAAATCTTGTGCAATAATCTTTCTTAATACTAAAAGCACATTTCTAGTGAGTTTATTACCTCATTCATGAAGTATTGTATGTTCTTGAATATTTCGGATATCGATGAATGTGCAACCAATAACTATTTATGTCATTACAACGCGACATGTAATAACACCATTGCTTCTCATAACTGTACATGTAATTCAGGATACACAGGAAATGGACAAAATTGTACTGGTAAATATTAGGCGATTTTTTTTCTTTTTTTGAAAAATATTTTTGTAGGTGACATGTCAGTGGAAATAGGTATTTATAAGAAAGACTTATGTTAACGTACATCTTATTATCCGAGGAAATGAGGTTCGTACTGTTGGTTAGCTCTTTAGCCCTATGAATCGAGGGTGACCAGGGGAAAGGCAAGTCCGATAATGAACAAGACGAGAAAGGAAAAAAGTGGATGATATATTGAGTTGCTCTGGTTCGACTGGTGGTAATCCTGAAGATCAAGGACGTGAACAAATAATTCCAATATTGGACTAAAATATTCTCCAGGGGAATATATAATTAGTAGTATACCGTTCAAAGAGACGGTGACGATTTAAATGTATTGCAGTTTGAATCTTTTGAGCACTTCCATTAGCTAGAGAATTATCAGACTAGTCATAACTAGCCTCAGTTGGGGGTAAAATAGAACTGAATTTTTGGATTAAGTGATTAAAATGACTTAACTGTGCGCCATATGCAGAAAAGAAAACAAATTCTGTGGTCATTCGTTTGCTCACTGTGCTGAGGTCGCAAATAAAGACCAATAACAGCTAATGTATTACTCAATACAATGTAAAGATACCAATGGATATTAGACTGATATTACAGACTTAGGCACTTTTTCTGAGTTATGTCAAGATAACGAGTCTTAATTGTCAACTAAATTATATTATGAACTAGTGACATAGCAAAATAGGTCAAGTTGAAAGAGCATGTACAAGTTAAGTTAAATAAGAGAAAGTTTCTTCAAACAGAATCGTTCAATATTTTCGAATTTCGGTTGTTCATACGGGACTGACGCACTAGGTTGAATTTCAACTTGTCTTAATAGTTTTACCACCTATCCATGTGCAATTTGCTACTTTACCAAATCAAAAATGGTGTCTGCTAACTGAATTTCCACGCATCCATGTAGACACGCCTTTAAGGTACAAAATACAGACGTTCATGGTTGCACACCGTGCCTGTCAAATTGACCATACCAGCTAGCTAAAAATTGAACTCGATTCTGACGATCAAATTTTGAAACGCTATTCGCCCAAATTTTCTCAGTGCCGTTTAAACGTAGCCAAAGGCTTCGCTCAAGAATTCAAGTTAGAGCTGACTCAGTGAAAAAAAACTATGATCCCTACCTCTTTGTCTGCTTGATTAGATATTTATTGTCTCGTGTTCATCAGACTAGGTGCTTCTGTGTTTATGCTTCCCTTCACCAAAAACCATTTCTACGGACTCACTGAATTCCAGATCTCGATTTGTGAATGTAGCGAGCTGCAACTTGGTGATTAAGTCATTTGGTTTGCTTATCCACCACATTCACCACTCAAAATTCACCGTGCTGTACCCTTGTACTTGCCAGAATATCTGAAGTCTTGCTTATGGTACAGCACAAACATGTACTATGAATGGTCTGGGTGGAAAGATGTGTGATATTGGTAATCATTGTGTGCATGTAATCTTAAGCAAATTCAAATGTGTTCATATTCTTTTCATTTTCTGTGCAGATACTGGGGCCCATACAATTAAATTGTTTGAATCAACCTACTTTTTTGGGGGGGAGGGGATTTATGAATGTAGGACAGCGCTAACAATAGCATGATAAGAAGGCAAACCACAAATCGTTACACAATGTGGACGTGAGTCTTCATGTCTTCTAAACCTCACTTTTTATTAGATCTTGGTGACCTGCACCTCTGCTGTTTTTTGGGCTATGGGAACATTGTTTCTTGTTCATTGTATTTGTTCTATTGTTTCTCCCAACCAATGTCCAAACTCCATTTTCATTATTCTCGAATGCTTCTCCTCATCATTAACAAATATTTATTACAGTTAATGTCCTTTTCACTAGGGTGTAGTGAAAGAAGTTGGGGACATCGTCGATATGATCGTCCACATAGATTTTAAGCGGGTGGTAACCATATTCAATGTCATCATAATATGCCCTGTCAGAGCTTCTAACCTTGTAGCAGAAGCGCTGACAACATCTGGAGCTGCCAAGTCTCAGCAAGGCTTCATAGTTAATACAAACAAGAAAAGAGAATCAAGAGCAAAAGGTAAATGAATTGAATGAACGATTCAATCGTTGTTCAATTATTAGTCTTGAGCATTGAAAGGTTAAAGACACTGTTTTAAACCCTTTACTTAATACGCAAGAAGTCTCCCATTGTCAAGTAAAGTCGTCTGACATCAGCCAGAGTTACATCAATGAACTCACTATTGGGAATTAAGGGGTTTGAAGTGTGTCATACCCTTGTTTGTATAATTATATACTCTGCACAGGAACTTCGGAATATGACATAAAGTTTTTAAGTGCCATACTGTAACTGGCTCACTTAGATACTCACCAGTAACTATTACTGCTCTGTTTTGAGATTGAGAGTCGATTTAATTTCAAATACAAAGTTTATTCGGTAACAATTAACTAATTATATAATACCGGTAAGAGTAAGAGAGTAAGGTGGAGAAACCTTAACACCAGACTGAACGACTCCTACGAAGCGGACAAGACTGCTGTACTTAACAAACAACTGGAAGATTTGCGTTTAGCTGATGAGAGAGGTCATTACACAACCACTTGGAAAGGAACATCAAAACCAACGTCAAAGTGAAACTGAGGAATGGCGACCCACCCAAGAACGAAGAACATCTCCTTGAGGAGTGGAAGAATTACTTCAGTTCACTTTTGAACAATGACAGTGGATTCACTCCATCAGAGCTACCTCTTCCGGCAAGTAATGATCTTCCCATCTGCACTGACCCTCCCACCCGCGAGGAAACGGCTGAAGCAATTGCTGCTATGAAAATCAACAAAGCAGCTGGCCTTGATTGTGCAATTACTGCAGAGGCTCTCCAAGGAGGTGGTGACCAGATGATTGATACCATCCATGCCTTCTGCTCGGAGGTGTACACCAACATGTCACCTCCTAAACAGTGGGTATCAAATGTCATCGTCCCACTACCGAAAAAGGGTGATCTGTCTCAAATGACAAACTACAGAGGAATAACTCTAATGTCGATTGCTGCCAAGGTTTACAACAAAATTCTCCTTAACCGAATTCGACTTCACCTGGACCCTCTGCTACGAAAGAACCAGGCGGGTTTTCGTCCAGGTCGCAGCTGCGCCCAGCAAATCCATATTTTGCGAAGAATCATGGAAGGCTTTAGAGAACACCAACTCCCATTGATTGCCACCTTTGTGGATTTCAAGAAGGCCTTTGACTCCATCAATAGGTCTGTGATGTTCTCTGTTCTACGTCATTATGGCATCCCAGAAACCTTGGTCAACGCAATCCAGGTGCTGTATACCAACTCTAGCAGTTCAGTGATGGTTGATGGAAGTATCTCCAAGCCATTTAGTGTTACCACAGGAGTGCTTCAGGGTGATGTATTAGCTCCATTTCTTTTTATCTTGGTAGACTACCTGCTGCTAAGGTCTACAGATGGTGACTCTGGTGTGCTGACTTGCCCTCGTAAATCAAGTAGGTACCCTGCAAAAGTTTTAAATGGCTTGGACTTTGCAGATGATATCGCCTTGCTTGAGTCCTCCATCTCCCGTGCTCAGTCCCAGCTAACCAGAACTGCCAATGCTGCTTCTGACCTTGGACTTGTCATCAGTGCTCCCAAGACTGAGGATATAACGATCAACTGCTGTCCACAGCCTCCACTAGAAGTATATGGTAGTACAATCAACCATGTACTAGACTTCAAATACCTTGGCTCCATGATGGCATCTAGTAGTGGGGATCTCAAAAGAAGGAAAGGGCTTGCATGGACAGCTTTTTGGAAGCTGGAACGTCTGTGGAGATGCCCTAACATCTCTATCTCCACCAAGATCAAGCTATTTAATACTACCTGTGTCACCGTCCTTCTATATGGCTGTGAGTCGTGGGTCCTGTCGAAAGCAATGGAAAGCGAGATCAATGCCTTTGGTACCTCATGTTATAGAATTATGCTCAACATCAAGAGAATTGATAGGGTGTCCAATGCTAAAATCTATGATTTAACTCAGACTGCCCCGCTAGTAGAAAATGTCAGAACCCGCCAACTGAGGTTTCTAGGCCATATACTAAGGATGCCTGATGATGAGCCATGCAAGGAGTACGCACTGTATATTCCCCCACATGGGAAGAGAAAACCAGGAAGGCAACGAACCCTGTTTCTCAGATACATTCAACACCTTTTGGGAGACACAGACAACATGATTGGCCCGGGCAAGCTGTCTGATTTGGCACAGGATCGTTGTGGCTGGAGGAAGCTCGTAGTCGCCTGCTCTGCAGCCGACCGATGATGATGATGATAATACCGGTAGTATTAGTCAATTTTCTTTTGAAAATATCCTGCTAGATAAAGAGGATTGTCATTGGTGTAAGACATACTGCCACCAACAGTAAAATGAGCTTGTTTTTTATGGTACTGGTATTACAGCTGTAGTTACAATCATGGAGCACCGAATTCATTTTGTTGTAACCTAAAGGATTCCAACCCTAAATCTATGTCATGAAAGAATAAGGCATTGTGCTTTGAAAAGTGAGTTTATTGTTACATTAATTTGTCTTTCAGGCCTTCTCATGACTGAGGTGGTAGATGCGTTTGTTGTGGGGCACTGGGCAGTGGCGAGAAAAATGATGGACAGACATGTGTCCAGGTGCACAACAAATGTGCTTCTAATGGAAAATGAGGAAGCTGGGAAACAGCCAAAGGAGGTGTATGAACAACTTGGAACGTTTTCTAAGGAGGGGGGTCTGATCCTGGACATTGGCAGTGGAAATGGTAAAGATGGTTTTTGTTTTATTGTGTGACAACCACAACACCACTGGAAACCCTTTATTGACTGCCCATTCTTTGATTTGGCATCAGGTACAGGCAAATGGTTCAGGAAATGCTTTGAGATTGTATTGTTTAAGTAGAGTGGCGAAGNATACATTCAACACCTTTTGGGAGACACAGACAACATGATTGGCCCGGGCAAGCTGTCTGATTTGGCACAGGATCGTTGTGGCTGGAGGAAGCTCGTAGTCGCCTGCTCTGCAGCCGACCGATGATGATGATGATAATACCGGTAGTATTAGTCAATTTTCTTTTGAAAATATCCTGCTAGATAAAGAGGATTGTCATTGGTGTAAGACATACTGCCACCAACAGTAAAATGAGCTTGTTTTTTATGGTACTGGTATTACAGCTGTAGTTACAATCATGGAGCACCGAATTCATTTTGTTGTAACCTAAAGGATTCCAACCCTAAATCTATGTCATGAAAGAATAAGGCATTGTGCTTTGAAAAGTGAGTTTATTGTTACATTAATTTGTCTTTCAGGCCTTCTCATGACTGAGGTGGTAGATGCGTTTGTTGTGGGGCACTGGGCAGTGGCGAGAAAAATGATGGACAGACATGTGTCCAGGTGCACAACAAATGTGCTTCTAATGGAAAATGAGGAAGCTGGGAAACAGCCAAAGGAGGTGTATGAACAACTTGGAACGTTTTCTAAGGAGGGGGGTCTGATCCTGGACATTGGCAGTGGAAATGGTAAAGATGGTTTTTGTTTTATTGTGTGACAACCACAACACCACTGGAAACCCTTTATTGACTGCCCATTCTTTGATTTGGCATCAGGTACAGGCAAATGGTTCAGGAAATGCTTTGAGATTGTATTGTTTAAGTAGAGTGGCGAAGTATTGGTTGCAAGCATGCAGTATGGAAACCAACATTAATCATGAGTTCTTGCATGAGTTGGCATCAACCCTTACAAAAGATATTCACATCAGTGTTTCTCATTATCTCATTTTCAGGAAATGGATTACTGGCTGGATTGAGAATGAAAAGGCCGTCCTTTTATATTGACCAATGGACGGAGGAGAGTGCCCAGTGGCAACTTGTTGAGGATATAAAAGTTCAGTCTCAACGTAATGATGACTCCCAGTAGTTGGGTCTTTTGAAAATCACATTTCTTTTTTTAATTTTTCATTTTGATCTGTTAAGATTGTAAATTCCTTTATAAGTCAATAAACGTTGTTTCTCTTTTAAGTTGCTTGGGCATCAGAAATTCTGAATACTTTAACAACCATGAACAGATAACCGTTTTTGCCCCTTGCCGTGATGGGGGATCAGAAATTCTGAATCCTTGTGGAATCATAAATAGGCAGCTGTTTCTATCCTGTAACCTGATCAGGGGGATCAGAAATTCTGAATACTTTTACAACCATGAACATATAGCCGTTTTTGTTCCTTGCCGTGATGAGGGAGCAGAAATTCTGAATCCTTGTGAAATTCAGTATAAATAGATTACAGTTTTGTTCTGATGAGTTATGGGCCGGGGGATCAGAAATTCTAAATCTCCCTAAGAAAGAAAGCGCAATTGGTGCATGATCTCTTTTACGTGAAATTAAAGAATTTGGTGGAATTGGAAAATTGGATGTTTTGTTTCTCGAGGACTCAACTGAACATTTTTTCTTCTCCTTCTAATTAGTGAAAGCCTTTCGGAAACTCAAACTTTTTCAGCATCAAGTACCAATTCTCTTCTGAATTTTACCAAATTGGAACACCACATTTTAGTTTGGAAGGCGTTAAAGTGAATCTACTGTTCGGAAAGGTGTTAACACTGTGCTTCTTGGTTTGCGAATCTTTAACAACTGTATAAGGGACTCTTGAAAATCGCTTAATTTGCTTAAGTCATCAATAGGCATGTGTACCGACGATTCAATCATCTACTTCTCTGACTCCAGCGCAGAAATCATCAAGCAGGTTCTAGGGGTTACACTTGATTTAAGTTAAATGTCTAAATAAATAAGTTCCTCCATATTTATCGGATTATTTTATTAGAAATCGCACTATTCACACTTACAAGACAAGACAAAGAAACGACATTCATCTACCGAGCCCGATAAGTTTACGCTAGGAAAAAAACACAGTTACATTTTCAGGGGCGGTTCTTTTTAATAATTACCGACATCATTAAAAGAAGCTACGTCGCTTTCCATTTTTAAGAAACTTTCTTAGATTTCATTTCAGCTATAAGTTTTTTCTTATTAATATACTACTTAGGTAACTTCGATAGCTCTCTTATTTGTTTTAATCTTAAACAAACTGTGATTCTTGTGAAGATATGTAATTTCCCTTTTATTCACTTTTTAAAATCATTGTACATAGTTTCAACGTAGTTTTTAATTTTTAAAATTTTATCGTGTAGTCGTTATTTACGCAGGGGCCCTTTTGATACTGGCCAATGGCTGATAGGGCTACCCCGACTTCTTGACTTGACTTACGGCAAGGGACTGTGCAATACTTATCTGGAGGTGGGGGGGGGGGGGGGG